ATCCCATTGCTCAAACCATATGCCATACAGCCATTGTTGACAATATATCTATATTTTCATAACCCATACCCAATCTATCAGCAAAGCCTATTGACTCACTTCAGAATATACAAAAATTTGTAAATTCTCACTGCTCTCTGGAGCAAGGCAGTGTGGTCTCCACTTGGGCTACTGCAATAGCCCAACTGGGCACCTTTAACTGCTTTTCCTTCTTCCATTCCTTATACTTTTATCCCACCCCTGCCTCTCCTCATCTATTCTCCACAGAGGATCCAGAATGATCTTTTAGCTAGTGATACAGGCTGGTAAGTCCCAAATTTACTTAATCTATATAATCTCTTTAAGACTGAAGACCTCAAGATAAGGGTAACAGAGCCATTTTACTGTCTGTTCCAGACCCCTGGAAAGGTACCCGAAAGTCTCCACCAATTGCCCTAAACCTGTATTCACAGACAGATCACCCCATGATGAGACTGTTTCCCCGCCCAAGCAGGAGTAGTTATCCCATGATGGAAACTGAGTCTGCCTCCTTAAAACAGGAACAATCATCTCATGGGAACTAGATTGTTCCCTCAAGCAAAGATTTCTCAGGAGTCACCGTGCAGGACTAGAACTGAAATAGTGATCAATCAGATCACAGTTTGACCAAGGCCACTTAATTACATAAGCCTTTTGCCCCTTGCTCCAATTCTTCCTCTGTTTAATCCTAAAACTGGTGTCAGGACCCCTAAAGATGGGTTGACATATTTTACCTCCTCTCTCTTCCCAAAGTGGCCATATTGATTAAAATTTTCTTTCCTGCCTTCCCAGCATTGGTTTTTCATTTGATTTCTGTAGTAAGAGGCCATACCTAATTTCTTGGGACTTCTCCAGAGTTGGACCTTTGGCCTAGAACTCCAGTCACAAGTTCTTCACCTGGTTCACCCTTGCTTCTATTTCTCCTGGTAGGAAAATATCTGATCTGAAAGGCCTGCTTAATCCTTGTGAATGTTTGCAATCTTTGCAGAACTTGTATCATACAGTATAAGTAGTTAGAATTCTGCTCTTTATGTTGCAGCCAGTTGTGTATTTCTCTTATCACCATCCTGCAGCTTACTCATTTTTATTTCCTAAATGCCTAGGGTATTGTTTTGAGCACAACACATGTTTATTGGCTTGAAATGAAGTAAAAGAAATTTGTGACTGATTTTGGGGGAGGGAGGACTGTTGAATGTTAAATTAGAGGTATGAATTTGCCCTTCAATGTTCCTTAGTACTTTTAAGTAAGTAGGGTGTTTTTGGTAGGGGATAAGGAATTATCAATGGCTTGAAGAAGGGTCTCCCTCTCTTTCTCTAAGACTGAGTAATATCTTTTACTTTGAAAGATCACTGGTTTTATTTATCTGCAGAGTTTTATTTTTCTATTCTTGTAATTTCTTTCAATCCTTGATGAAGTTTTAGCTAATTAACATGGCTAAAATGTCATATGTTTTATTTCATAAATTAAAATTAAATGAAAGGAGCAAAGTAGCCCTGAAGGCTCCTGTGAGCTATTGAAGGAAGGTTAAAATCAAAGGGTTTCACTCATAAGCAAGAAAGATAAAGCTGTTAACATGGGCTTTTAATATCACAAGATAGTAAAATTAAAAGAAAAAATTGTAGTTAGATTGGGAAAGAACATGGTCATAGAATATAAATGTGTACCTGAGCTGCCATTGAAAACTTACCACAAAACTAGTGTCTGAGATGCTAAAGCAATTATTGTGCTGATGCAACAAACAAAAGTAAATCCCAGCCTCTGTCATATTCTGCACTGCTCCCATTGTGTGCTTGTGTGGCTCCAGACAAGGACAGTTGAAGGACAGGTTCACTAAGCATATCAATTCAGTTGTCAGTGACTCTGGAGCATCTAGAGAAGCACACCTGAGTTAGGAAAGATTAGAAAACCTTTGTTTTTGTACTCTAAATTTGAACATATAAATATTATACATGATTTAAAAAACACCTGGTTTATGGAATTTTAAGTTTGCAGAATCAATAAAGTGGGAATTTCTTCTTTTCATATGACTTGAAACCTTTAATTTTAGACCATTTCAATGGGAAACTTCTTCTTATATCTTTTTATTCTTCTTAGTATATGTTAATTGTACAAAATAATGGGTTTCAATTATGATATTTTCATACGTGTACATATGTACTTCCCTGACTGTACCTTTGTGTCTTTGAAGGCTAGTACAGATTTACAGACTAAAGGAAATTGAGCAAACCCAAGCTCTCTAGAACTACAGTCCTGGGGATTTTTCCCTATTAAAAGGAACTCTAAGTTCTGAAAAAGGGAAAGGGGAAAGTTATATATTAGTGAGAAAATGTAAAGTTAGTAAAACATTACTTTGGATTCTGTCTTAGCATTTTTTCTGCTGCAAGTTCCAACTCAAGTTTTGAGTTCCTCATAAAAACAGAACTCATTTTGTACTGAAAACAAAAATGAGGAAACAGGAATTATTTTACAGAAGAATCAGAAAGCTTATTTTACTGGTGTTGGTTGGTATTCTTTCAGAGATGGGAGACCATTTCAAATAACAGGCATCCCCACCTCCTTGGTGAAACTCATCTGCTACCATAGTGAGTCGTACTCACTGATGGGAGTAGGTTATATCTTTTAGGTGAGTAGGGTGAAAGAAAAAAAGTTCAGTTTTCTTTTGCCAAGACATATTTACTTTATGAAATAAAATGAATCATTGAAAATGTCACTTGACTGTAGTCAATATTAAATAACTGTATTGGGGGTACTTAAAAAGAAGATTTAGGTTCAAACAACTTATACAAATGAATAACTTACAAGTTACAATTGTATTTTTCAAAAATGGAAGCATAATGTTGTTATACAATGTTCTTTTCACATTTCTTACTTCTCTGGCATTTATTATAAGGAACAAAGCATTTCTGGAATGCTCATTTTAATTTCAAAGCCCAGGCTATTCTGCAGAAAACATTTGGTGCATGGAGGATCCGAACAATAGAGGAGAATGTGCTGTGGGAAGCAGTATGAATTGTGGTACTTAAAATACATTCCGAAGGAACATTTCAGACAATGATACTTTTCATTTTAGAGGAAAGGTTTAATTTGTCTTAATCTGGACAAATATCTTTTAACTCTATATAAATGAGAGTGCCAATAATGAGATATTTGCTGTTTGGAGTTTGTGAATGCCCGTGTGATAAATCAGGTTTATTATCATCTTTATATGACCCATGATATAAAGACACATGATCCTATTTAGTTGCTTGTTAGGCATGTAGAGTGAGCTTTGTTAACTGCCTTCATAACATTTAAAATGGAGAGTCCAGGAGCAAGACTAGGCCCAGAAAGAATACCTTTGAAGGATTCTCATAACCCACTTTCTGTATCCCTATGGAGAATGGACTAGAAAATACATATGAAATGAAAACCAATATTTGTGTCATGTTATGCATTAAAAAAACCTACTTGACCTTATTTAACCTTCACAAAATCTTATAGAAAGTGTGATTATTCTTATTGTCTAAGCAAGGAAACAAAGACTTTCCACAAACATTCCACTCTGGATGATCACCTTGGTAATAAAGCAAATTAGAATAAAACAGAAGGTCATTAGACAAGGAGATGAGAATAGAAGGCCAGACAAAATTTATTTTCATCCACATATTTCCCTGATAGCTTATAAGTTCTTAGCTAAACAAGGGGTCCAAATATTCAAGTAAACAAATGTCTAATGCTCCATTAACAACCAATAAGCAAAGTCTCTGGGTGCTGCAGAGGAGGGAGGGCCTGCAGGAGAAGACTGCATGGTTAGCATATGTCTCAGCTACTTGATGGAATGCAGGAGCCTTGCTTTCTTTTTCCTTTTAAAAGATTTATTTATTTCTTTTTAACTGACAAATGATGTGTATAGATCTGGGTGCAGTGATGTTTTGATCACTGGAGAAAGATTCAGTCCACTTAATTTAACATAGCCATCACCTTACCAGCTTGTCACTGGATCCTTGGATTTCAGTAGAAGTTCCAGATTTTCTAGTTTAAATATTGAATATAAGGTTTTTTACTCTATCTCTTTCTCCGGGATGGGGATTTTCAAGCTTTTCTTATGAATTTTTTATCCAAAATTTGCTACTGGGATCCAAGGTTTAATTAAGAAATGGATGCAATGGATATTTTTCAAAAGTAATTTAGTATTCTTAATTTTCATTTCCAAACAATGCTCTGATCATAAATTTTTTCCTTTATTTTGTTAAGCTTTATTTCTTTCCCCAGGTTTATTAAGGTATAATTAACAAATATAAATTTCTTATATTTTAATGGTGTATACCTCAAGGCTCTGTGTTTTGAGAAACAAATTGGGTTGAAGGGATAGAGTGGGAGAAGGTGGAGATAGAAGTGGTCAGGTAAGGCCTCTTGATAGGGGACTTTGAAAGGGACCTGTTGCAGGGGCCCAGTGAAGTAGGGAAGGGTACAGGAGACAAATTAGAGAGGTTACAAAGGATAAGGAAGTAAGCTTAATAAATACCCTTAAGCTTGGTATGCTTAAGGGTATTCCTCCTACCCAATATTAATAATCTCTATTCTTAGCCTAAATACACTAATACCAACTTAATTGTGATTATTTTTGCTTCCTTCTTAATATAGATTGTTGGCTATAAAGTAATAAAAATTTTATTTTATAATTCGATAATTCTGAGATATGATTTCCCGTATTTCTCATTTTGACAGCTTCATTAAACATCTGTATATTTTTTCATATGAAGTTTCTATAATTAAAACAACACAGACATCTCAAGCATTCTTCCAATACAAAACCTGGTGAGGTTTAATAGTCATAGCTCTCCTTTCCTTCCACTCTTTAGTTGGGGACTCTGGTGGCTGATTGTGCTGCCCTTGGTGCTACGCCTTGACATCTGGGGATGCCCCCACAGTACCGGGAGTGAATCATCTTACTGTGATACTTCAGCTGTCTAATGAACGACTTGTGTTTTTCCAATTTTAGGTTACTACACTTGTAAATTGTCCCCAGAATCCTTCCAGCAGGAAAAAAGGACGTTCAAAGAGAGCCAGAGTCCTCCTAGCGTCCGTGGAGGAGGCAACTTGCGACCTGTTAGACAAGGGAGAGAAGATCGCCCAGGAAGCCACCGTGTTACGGGCAGAGTTGGCCGCTGCGCTGGCGGAGGTTCGCAAAGAGAGTGAGTGCGCTAGGCCTGGACAGGAGCAGAGTGCATTTCTTTAGGGTGTTAGTTACTCGCTTAGATCTGTGAGTGTTTTGTTTTTGTTGGCTTGAGTTTATTAGTCTTTCACAGAGCTGTGAAACTGAGCTGTGGGAGGTAGAGCGGCTCATTAGACAGCTCCGAGGCTCAGAGTCCCAGTCCTGGCTCTTTCCTTTAGCTATTCAGTCCCTGCAGACAGCTGCCCACCTCCATCCACGCCATAACTCACCCACAATAAACCAAGGGAAAGCTAATGAGGCTAAAGACATATTTGCCCATACATACATAAATTATAAACTTCCTCATAAGCAGTTGGGAGATAGAAATTTCAGATTTGACTGCCTCAATAAGTACATTTTTTTATTTTTCAATTTTCTGGAGGTTTAGATTTACTAAAAATTTTTTTAGTGCCTTGCATAAACTATGCGTAATCTCTGTTGCTGCTTTGTTAATATTACATAATAAAAGCATATATTTCATCTTTTGATGTCTTTACTTATGATAATGCAACAATTTCCTAATGAATGTAAATCTCATCTGTAGAATATTTTTAAAAGAACTGTTCAGTGTCTTTGGGTCAATGGAATGATTTTGTGTACATCAGCTTGCTGCAGGTAATTATTTTGGGAGGATAAAGAAAATTGAATTCAGGAAAAATGATTGGGATATCCAAATACTTCTTTTCTCCAACACCCAGCATAACTAAGAAAATTGGAAAGTCAGGGCAGGCTGTGGTGGTTCATGCCTCCAATCCCAGCACTCCAGAGGTACAGGTAGGAGAATTTGAGACCAGACCGGGCTACATAGTGAGATCTTGTCTCAAAAAAAATCAGAAAGTAAAGCCTTTTCTAATTCTAAAATGAAAATACTAGCTACAGTAAACTTTGGATCAAATTTATGAGACAGGGGATTATTTGTGATATAATTTTTATATCTTTTTGGTGGTACTGGTGTTGAATGCAGGGCCCAGTGCTTGTTAGGCAGATACCCTATCATTTGAGCCATACCTCCAGCCTAATTATATATTTTTTTGAAATAAATTTTATTGTGTACATTTAAGGTATACAATATGACATCATGGGATTCATATAGATAGAAAATGGTTACTATAGTGAAACAAATTAACACATCCATCGTTTAACTTAGTCCTCCAGGTCCTCAACTTTTTTGGTGGTAATAGCTAAAGTGTACAAATGTAGCCAAATTCCTGAATGCCATATAGCTAGAGTCTTCATGGTGTGCATTAGCTCTCTGGACTTGTTCATCCTACATATCTGCTTTCTATCCTTTGATCTACAGCTCCCCATTTCCTCCCATTTTCCCCTCTAACTCCTGGGAAAAACTGTTTCATTTTGTATTTCTGTATATCTGACTTCTCTCTTCCTCTTTTTTTAGATTCTACATGTAAGTGAAGTCATGTGATATTTTCCTTTCTGTGTCTGGCTTATTTCACTTAGCATCATGTCCTTCAAGTTTACATTGTGGCAAATGGCAGGGTCTCTTTTTTTTTTTTAAATTATTTTATTATTCATATGTGCATACAAAGCTTGGGTCATTTCTCCCCCGTGCCCCCACCCCCTCCCTTACCACCCACTCCGCCCCCTCCCTCTACCCCCCACCCTCTCAATACCCAGCAGAAACTATTTTGCCCTTATTTCTAATTTTGTTGAAGAGAGAGTATAAGCCATAATAGGAAGGACCAAGGGTTTTTGCTGGTTGAGATAAGGATAGCTATACAGGGAGTTGACTCACAGTAATTTCCTGTGCGTGGGTGTTACCTTCTAGGTTAATTCTTTTTGATCTCACCTTTTCTCTAGTTCCTGGTCTCCTTTTCCTATTGGCCTCAGTTGCTTTTAAGGTATCTTCTTTAGTTTCTCTGCGTTAAGGGCAACAAATGCTAGCTTGTTTTTTAGGTGTCTTACCTATCCTCACCCCTCCCTTGTGTGCTCTCGCTTTTATCATGTGCTCAAAGTCCAATCCCATTGTTGTGTTTGCCATTGATCTAATGTCCACATAAGAGGGAGAACATACGATTTTTGGTCATTTGGGCCAGGCTAACCTCACTCAGATTGATGTTCTCCAATTCCATCCATTTACCAGCAAATGATAACATTTCATTGTTCTTCATGGCTGCATAAAATTCCATTGTGTATAGATACCACATTTTCTTAATCCATTCATCGGTGGTGGGGCATCTTGGCTGTTTCCATAAGTTGGCTATTGTGAATAGTGCCGCAATAAACATGGGTGTGCAGGTGCCTCTGGAGTAACCTGTGTCACAGTCTTTTGGGTATATCCCCAAGAGTGGTATTGCTGGATCAAATGGTAGATCAATGTAGCTTTTTAAGTAGCCTCCAAATTTTTTTCCAGAGTGGTTGTACTAGTTTACATTCCCACCAACAGTGTAAGAGGGTTCCTTTTTCCCCGCATCCTCGCCAACACCTGTTGTTGGTGGTGTTGCTGATGATGGCTATTCTAACAGGGGTGAGGTGGAATCTTAGTGTGGTTTTAATTTGCATTTCCTTTATTGCTAGAGATGGTGAGCATTTTTTCATGTGTTTTTTGGCCATTTGAATTTCTTCTTTTGAGAAAGTTCTGTTTAGTTCACTTGCCCATTTCTTTATTGGTTCATTAGTTTTGGGAGAATTTAGTTTTTTAAGTTCCCTATATATTCTGGTTATCAGTCCTTTGTCTGATGTATAGTTGGCAAATATTTTCTCCCACTCTGTGGGTGTTCTCTTCAGTTTAGAGACCATTTCTTTTGATGAACAGAAGCTTTTTAGTTTTATGAGGTCCCATTTATCTATGCTATCTCTTAGTTGCTGTGCTGCTGGGGTTTCATTGAGAAAGTTCTTACCTATACCTACTAACTCCAGAGTATTTCCTACTCTTTCCTGTATCAACTTAGAGTTTGGGGTCTGATATTAAGATCCTTGATCCATTTTGAGTTAATCTTGGTATAGGGTGATATACATGGATCTAGTTTCAGTTTTTTGCAGACTGCTAACCAGTTTTCCCAGCAGTTTTTGTTGAAGAGGCTGCTATTTCTCCATCGTATATTTTTAGCTCCTTTGTCAAAGACAAGTTGGTTATAGTTGTGTGGCTTCATATCTGGGTCCTCTATTCTGTTCCACTGGTCTTCATGTCTGTTTTTGTGCCAGTACCATGCTGTTTTTATTGTTATTGCTTTGTAATATAGTTTGAAGTCAGGTATTGTGATACCTCCTGCATTGTTCTTTTGACTGAGTATTGCCTTGGCTATTCGTGGCCTCTTGTGTTTCCATATAAATTTAACAGTAGATTTTTCAATCTCTTTAATGAATGTCATTGGAATTTTGATGGGAATTGCATTAAACATGTAGATTACTTTGGGAGTATCGACATTTTTACTATGTTGATTCTACCAATCCATGAGCATGGGAGATCTCTCCACTTTCTATAGTCTTCCTCAATCTCTTTCTTCAGAAGTGTATAGTTTTCCTTGTAGAGGTCTTTCACATCTTTTGTTAGGTTTACACCTAGGTATTTGATTTTTTTTGAGGCTATTGTAAATGGAATTGTTTTCATACATTCTTTTTCGTTTGCTCATTGTTAGTGTATAGAAATGCTAATGATTTTTCTATGTTGATTTTATATCCTGCTACCTTGCTATAGCTATTGATGATGTCTAGAAGCTTCTGAGTAGAGTTTTTTGGGTCTTTAAGGTATAGGATCATGTCGTCTGCAAATAGGGATATTTTGACAGTTTCTTTACCTATTTGTATTCCTTTTATTCCTTCTTCTTGCCTAATTGCTCTGGCTAGGAATTCCAGTACTATGTTGAATAGGAGTGGAGATAGTGGGCATCCTTGTCTGGTTCCTGATTTTAGAGGGAATGGTTTTAGTTTTTCTCCGTTAAGTATAATGCTGGCTGTAGGTTTGTCATATATAGCTTTTATAATGTTGAGGTACTTTCCTTCTATTCCTAGTTTTCTTAGAGCTTTTATCATGAAATGATGTTGGATCTTATCAAAGGCTTTTTCTGCATCTATTGAGATGATCAAGTGGTTTTTGTCTTTGCTTCTGTTAATGTGGTTTATTACGTTTATTGATTTTCGTATGTTGAACCACCCCTGCATCCCTGGGATGAAGCCTACTTGGTCGTGGTGAATAATCTTTTTGATGTGTTGCTGAATTCGGTTTGCCATTATTTTGTTGAGGATTTTTGCATCAATGTTCATTAAGGAGATTGGCCTATAGTTCTCCTTTTTGGAGGTGTCTTTGCCTGGTTTTGGGATAAGTGTAATACTGGCTTCATAAAATGTGTTTGGCAGTTTTCCTTCCCTTTCTATTTCATGGAACAGTTTAAGGAGGGTTGGTATCAGTTCTTCTTTAAAGGTCTGATAGAATTCAGCAGAGAATCCATCAGGTCCTGGACTTTTCTTTTTGGGGAGACTCTTGATTGCTGCTTCAATTTCATTTTGTGTTATAGGTCTATTCAGGTGATTAATTTCCTCTTGGTTCACTTTTAGATGATCATATGTATCTAGAAATCTGTCCATTTCTTTTAATTTTCAAATTTATTTGAATATAGGTTCTCAAAGTAGTCTCTGATGATTTCCTGGACTTCCATGGTGTTTGTTGTTATCTCCCCTTTTGCATTCCTAATTCTACTAATTTGGGTTTTTTCTCTCCTCATTTTAGTCAGGTTTGCCAGAGGTCTATCGATCTTGTTTATTTTTTCAAAGAACCAACTTTTTGTTTCATTAATTCTTTGTATGGTTTTTTTGGTTTCTATTTCGTTGATTTCAGCTCTTATTTTTATTATTTCTCTCCTTCTATTTGTTTTGGGATTTGCTTGTTCTTGTTTTTCTAAGAGTTTGGATGTATCATTAGTTCATTGATTTGGGATCTTTCAATCTTTTTAATATATGCACTCATGGCTATAAACTTTCCTCTCAGACTGCCTTAGCTGTGTCCCATAGGTTCCGGTAGGTTGTGTTTTTCATTTTCATTGACTTCCAGGAACTTTTTAATTTCCTCT